AATTACAGTTACATGTCTAGTGCATCTTGACTTGAGAAATGCAAGAAGAGAAAAATCATCCTTTTCAAACTCAATCCATGGAGAGGTCAGGTTGCAATTTGACTTCAAGTCTGAAGCAAGTTTGCAGAAACTATTACAAACCAAGCTCACCCCAGTTGGATGTAATGTAGAAATTAATGGGTGAAACATGAGACAATTGTTGGAAAATTCCAATGTGTGGGGGCCACACATGTATATATATTAAAATGTGTAATGCTATCTTAAAAGTTTAGTCGATAAAGATCTCTATTAAAGCCAATTTTGGACTAGTGGGTATTAAATGTCATGTAAATAAAGTGTAGAGACCATAAAGTTATTTTAAATTGATGAGGGGCCAATTTAAAATAAGTGAAAGATAATAATTGCTCAATACAATTATTATATTATGGGGTCACGGTTCCCAATTGAACGTGATTAACAATTTCTATGCATCCCAATCAACATATAAGAATTCTAGAGGAATTGTGTATCAATTGGAAGATCATAACCTGTATAATTCAAGCAATCAGATACATAGATCAATGTATGCTTCCGCTTTTAATATTCTTATTGATTTCAACATAGAGTATATATATATGTGTGTGTGTGTGTGTGTGTGTGTGTGTGTGTGTGTGTGAAAAGGGTTTGATAAAGTTTTGGATTGATAATCCATTTTCTAATCCATCAAGTGGTATTAGAGCAATCTCTATTGTTGAATCTTTGATAAATAAAGTTTTATGCAAATTCTGAATTTTGGGTTATTTTTTATCTTCCTTCATGTTACGAAATTTGGTATTATATTCCTAATTTTCTTCCAAAATTTGGGTTTAACATTAAGGATTTTCAGTTCTTAAAAAAAAATGTGAAATCTGGACCCGCAGCGAGAACCGCCGCTGACGCTCGCCCCGCGATTTCAGCCCCTAGAGTTTTAAAATTAATTAATTTGGGTCATTTAAGCTCTGAATTTTGCAGTTAAAGCCCTCAGAGTTTTTGATTTTGTTCTAAGTGGCCTCAAAAGTTTTAAATTTTTAATTTTGCCCCCCTAAAGTTTTGAATTAATTAATTTTGATCCCTAAAATTTTGAGGTAATAACCCTTAGGCACCTAAAGTTTTAAGATAAATAAAATATGCAAATTTGGTGTTTTGATTTTCAAATTTTGGTACAAAGGACTCATTTGGAAGACATAATATTCGAAAGTAACTTAATTGAAGCAACATGTTGCCCAATCAACCT